ATTCGCTGAGCTGCCTCCGCAAGTTGCGGCGATGGGCTCTCCGAGTGTTGTGAGGAAAAGTAGACGCACGGGTCTTTTTAGAGTGTTCTAAGTTGCGTGAGCATAGGGCTCCCGAAGGGGGATGTAAAGGACGCTAGTGTAGCAACCGAATGAATATGATTCGTGGCGCCACCTTCGGGTTTTGCGATTGCATACTTGAACGATGTGCGGAACAAACCTGGGGCTTTTTTCAACCGACACATGTGGCTGGCGGTTTCGCTCTCTCTCGGCCGCTCGCGCCTGTGCCTTGCGCTCTTGAGCCTTCTTCAGAAGCAGGTGTGGGCACCGAGGATGAACCCCAAAAACTTGATGGAGTCTCCCTGCGCCTCGAGTCATCTCTTTTATTTTGATGTGAAAGATGAATCTGTGCGTGCGTTGCACCCACTGATCTTAATGACAATTGCTAGATCGCGCTTCCCGCTCCCGCAAGTGAAGCCACCCGACGCAACCTTGCAGGGATACGGTTTGCGGTTTTGCCAGCGTTTCGCTGCGGTTTTCCAGCGTTCTGTAAACACGTTTTCTACTCGTTCGTCGTCATTCGCCGAAGAAGCTTTTTAAGACTCTGTGTACCTATGAGACTTGCCGTCGTGAACACCTGGAAAATTTTACGAAAGTGCAGTGTCGCAGGAAAAAGGCACAACTCGTCGAAATCAAGTTTCGCCGGTCTGGCGGCGTGTTCAAAGCTTCTTTGGCACGCCAAAGTGCCGTGTCTCTGTGCCTTCGCACGCTTGGATACCGACCAAGAATCGACGCCGTGTGGATCTGTTTTGCGAGTGCAATGTGCACTCGCAAAACGTCCTCTAGGACTTCGTCCTTGACGTCCCAGAGGACGACATCCAGAACGACCTCTAAGACGACCTCTAGGGCGACCCTGGGACGATCTTTACGAAGACCTCAAGGATGACGTCTAGGACGACCTCTAGGGTGATCTCAAGAACGACCTCTAGAATGATCTCAGGAACGACCTCTAGGACGACCTCAAAGACGACGTCGAGTACGATGTTTTAGCGGAGGATGTCAAAAACGAAGTACGACCTCTAGGACGACGTCGAGGACGACGTCAAGGTCGTCAGGTCCTTCGAAGAGTGTGCGAATGTGAAGGAGTGCGTACTGCCGCTCCGCATACGCGCGGCGCAACAGTAAGCTGAAATGGTCTACTGCGCTTTAGGAGGCCATATACCAGATAGACAGCAATCTGTGATGAGTGTGTAATAATCTGGATGAGCATCGTACCGGCGTGCGGTTGTGCATCCCTACTGCGTGGTGCACGTTAAAGACCCCAGGCTAGCGGTTGTACTGCACTGGCTAAATTTCTCATCTACAGCTGGGAGACTCGTCGCCCGTTGAGGCAGACCTAGTTCTATAGGCTGTATAAACATACACACAACCCAATTTTTTGTGTAATAATGCCTTTGCTCTAAAATATTGTTTCTTCTCTCCTTTTGGTGCATTGAGTTCTGCTGCAGTCGATTTTTAATGATATCATCCTTTAGCATTCACCCGGTTTCCGCAATACGCTTTCTGGCCTCGAATGCGCCGTGCGTATGCGCCTGTGCACGTATGCGGAGGCGCCGCGAGGCGGCGCGGCGCCTCCGTATACGTAGGACGTACGTCCGCATACGCGCGGCGTCTGTGTCTGCAGACGACGTGCGTATGCGGACGTCCTACGTATGCGAAGGCGCCGCGCCGCCTCACGGCGCGGCGCCCTTGAAGTCGTTTTAGAGGTCATCGTAAAGGTTGTTATAGACGTCGTATTTGACGTCATCCCTTAGGACGTCGTCCTTGAGATCACCCTAGATGTCACTCTAGACGTCGCCCTCGACATCGTCCTAGACAGCGTCCTTGATTTCGTCCTTGAGATCGCCCTACAGGTCGTCCGAAAGGTCGTCCTCTAGGATGTCGTCCTAGCAAGCACGATAAACCCGCGCCACGCATACAAGGAGCGGCAGTACGCACACATTCACATGTGCGCCCAAGCTACGAACCAATTATCAGTTTCAGTTGAGCTAGCTGGTACATGGTCAATGATGGTGGTGAAACAGCTTGAACATTAAACGATTACTCAGAGACAGAAGATTACACGGATACGAAGCAATCAGTCAACTTTGAAGTGGCGCGCTGCAGTCGCTCTGACTTCAATGATTGCGTCCTAAACTATTCATAAAATAAAGTGCTTACTCAAAATTCGCATCGTCGTATTCAAAGTGAGCTGCGTCGTGAGTTCCATGATGACGAATGCTATCGCAATTCATAGACAACCAACAATAGTGGCTTCTGCAGCCAATTTTTATGTTTTCAACGTAGACACATTTAATAACATATTTGTCATTAAAATAAAATAAAAATATCACTGGGGTGAAAATTATTTGGGCTTGACTGCCGCAACACAATTTGCAGGTGTATAATAGGCTTTCGGACAGCACAGGATAAAACGTGTTAGCAAAGCCACATTTCGTGGTGGTGTGCCTATTACGGCCTCACGAGTGTCATGTGAACTTCGTTTGATTTGAAGCGGAATTACAGGTGTTAGCAAAAATAAAAGGAAAGGAAAGGCAAAAAAAAAAAAAAAAAACTCCTTAGCCTCAAACTTTCTTTTTTTTTTTTTTTTATTAAGCAGTGACATGGCTTTTGTGGCGTCCCGAAAGTTGTAATCCAAATTAGAACGGTAGGTGAGCATTTCTCCGGTCCGTGGCACAAATGGTGAGCGTACTCTGGAATGAACTTATTCAGACTCAGTGAGCTTTTCTCCGGGATTGTGCGCAGAGGTCTGGCACGAAGCCCAAAAGGAAGCAGAGGGAGCGACATCACGGGCACGCTTAGACGGGTTAGTTTCGGTTTGAAGCCGTGTTCGAGGACGACATTTCTCGCCTAGTAGCGCCCACTACGAATGTTTTAATCAAGATTTCACGTCAAGGCTAGGTTACGGGGAGGTCGAACGTCAATTCTTCGACTAAATTATGTGCCAACCATTAAAAATTAAAAAGAAAAAAAACGTTAGTCAAATCTTTTTAGCTAAGAAATTAACCGATTTCTTTTCTTGTCGCCTCCATGGATTCTAACTCAGACCAAGAGATAACAAAAAAAACGAATATAAAATTATTTTTTTTTAGTCTTCTTAATATACTCTTCATTTTCAGATTTCCGAAGTATTCGTTTTTCACCTGCGTGTGTGTGTGTGTGTGTTTTTCTGGCGGCCTGTAATATGTTTTCGATAAAATAAAGAAATAAACGGCAAAAATGAGCGTCTTGTGCTCTATCTCAATCGTTGCTTCGTTAGAGAGAAGCTAGGCAAATGGAACCAAAAATGTGCTTCGACTGTAACTGCAGTGGTATAGCTATAGTCGAGTATAGTGACCGATACAATTGTTTTCTTTCCGCGCACTTGCGTCATAGACTCGTTCGACTTGTTTTTGTAACAGCTGGAACTTGCATGCCACCCTTTTTTGTTTCGCTGTCGACGAGCTAACGTTTAAAAACAGGCGGGGCAATGACGCAAAATCTTGTACGAAGAGTACATACTCGGGCCGGCGACTTCGAAGCGTGCTCACTGCCTGGGAATCTAGAGCGTTGCAACGTCACGGTGCTGCAGTTGTGCGCGGACTAACACTGAAAACAAAAACGACGTCGTCGGTACGAGAAACGAAAAACATGCATGACGACATGACGGGACAAAACACGTGTCCCCGCTTCGCCGTTCATTGCCCTCGGTGTATTTTCTTGAATTCCAAGAAAAAGTTGGGAGGATTCGACATCGGAACGCGCGCGAACACTTTTTTTTTAACGCTCTCTCTATCTTTTGCTTTTATTGAACAATGCTCGATGTAAGATTGCCAGCGTTTTACTAAATGACCCCAAGTCCCAATGAGAATACTTCAGTCACGCGTGCACCAGAGGTTGACGGGCAAACAACCACCGACAGCGCTCTGGTTACACCATATAGTTGTTTGTCCCTTTTATTTGTGTGTATTTGTTTTCCTGCCCTGTGTCAGGTTAAGTTATGTCCCCATAGCCGGGCGTGCCGGATTCGGTTTGAGCGCCTCAATGTTGCCGACTGAGGCGTCCTACATTCGGTCGGAGACGGCGCCGAAAGACCCAAAACGGTGTGATAATGAATTTACGCAAGCGAGCAAATTTAAAAAAAAAGAAAAGAAAAACACACACACACACACATACACAAAATGCTTAAGGAAAAAAAGTTTTTTTTTTTTTTTTTTTTTTTTTACTGCAAACATGAAATAAACGTCGCTGAACACCCAGTCCGGTCCACAGCGCTAGCAGTCCGGACCACGGCCTGCCGTTGTCGGATGCTTAAAGTTAAAAGCGATTTTCGGAAATCTTTTTAATGGGACAATGGGGCCTGCTCCCGGTAACTGACGCCATTCCTCTCCATCTGGGGCCCTAATCTGGACACTTGGCGAAAACGTCGGCGAGAAATCCGGCGGCTCTGACTGGCCGGCGCCAAGGTCAAGTGCGGCGCGGGCAAATCACGGCCGCCAGATTTCTCGCCGGGTTTTTCGCCAAGTGTACTTCGTCGGCCGCCATTTTTTCATTAAGATTTTCTGAAAATCGCTAACAGCTTTTAAATCCGACAACGGCAAGTTCTGAAACTTCGGCATCTGGTTCGAACCGCCAGATCTACAGTTGGGTCGAGACAGAGCGTTCGGCAATACATCTTTATTTTTGCAATAAAATAATTTTTTTTTTGCATATATTTGTAGTTGTGGATGTGACGGGGATTGGGAACACTGTTGCGTTGTCCGTTTTTTATTTCGCCCGTTTCATAATTGAAAGTACAAGCGTTTTATCTGTTTCTGCTACGCAGGCCTCAGTGCGCGTTTTTGCGAAAGCCCGGGCACATCTTGCTGGGCTGGTGAATGTCTCTGGCCTGCAAGAAAGCGTGGGCTCCCGTGCCCAGGCAGGCGACACCATGGACCGCAATACGCGCGGAGCCGCAGGTTGGACTCGCGCCGGGCAGGAAGGACAACGGCGGCTGCCGACAGCTGGAAGACTGGGCGAGGCGAGCGAACCAAGGACCCGCCGCGCGCAGCCTGCGCTCAGGAACGCCTCCTGCGAGCAGCTGCCACGGAGAGACGTCAGAGCTGCGCAGGAGATAAAGGCGGCGCCAGCTTCCCCTCGGCGAGGCAGAGAGCGCACGTCACACACTCGCGGATTGACACAGCGAGCCTGTCGACATGGCGGTGCCGGAATTGCGTTGTCAAGATGTGGACGACACGGCCGAAGGAGACCTCGGACTGTCCGACGAGTACGATCGTCGACGATGTTGCCCACCGTCCGCGTCGATGGAGGACCTGTCGCGGACCCTGATCGTCAGTCCCGTCCTGTCCGCTGCGTCGTCGTTCGACTCGCTCCTCGGGGCCAACGGTCACCAGTCCTGGACGCCCAGTCCTGGTAAGCCTGCCGGCCGGTCCAAGCTGGACCCAGGAGGTGCGCCTTCTCAGCGGCCGGCTATGCGCTTTGTTCGTCGTGACGTCGCAGCACCGCGCTCACATGTGCTGAACGCCGGCAACAGTAGGCTACCGCGTTCCCTCTCCAGATGGCCCAAGTTCAAATCCCAGTCAGGTCGCGGGTCCGCATCAACAACTGGATGAATCGAGGACGAAAACAAATGCCCGAGCTCCAACCGCTTATGCGGAGTTTCGTTTTCATTTCTAGCGTGGATGTCGTCTTACTTCGGTACACGGCTGTCCGAGTAATATACTTCAGATCCCTTCCATGTGCCGGAAGTTCGCCAGTAGAGAATAACCACCGATAACCGCCTATTTCTTTCTGCCGAATCTTGTGGGGAAAAAAATAATACCATCCAGTACAAGAAGTTCTTTACTGTATCTTTGAGGGGCAACATGCAACGAGACGCGTGAAGTATACATGTACTGACGTCAACACCAGTGGCCCTTGTGGTGGTCGTGCCGCAGAGCGCGTACCTTCGGCAGCATCCATTTTGCAACAGCGAATTTCTTTTCGTTCGCAAGAGCAAGTAGGAATGACCAGTGCTCAAAGCCTTCCACCGGTAGCAGGGGGTCCCTGTGGTGGTCACTTCGGGAAAGGGGGGAGTTAGTGGGACATATTTTGACCGGCAGCTTTAAACTAATACCATGCACATGCATCCAAACGCTGACACGGCGTTTGGCTGACACATCCGAACGCTGCGTCAGAAACACGCCCAAATGATTCGTATCTTCGCCGCTAGGGTGCGCGACAGTTGGATCTATTCCCAAAGGGGTCTCAGACCGTCCCGTCGAAATCCGTGGGGGCTCTGAGAGACCCCCACGGATTTCACTGGGAATGGGAATGACCCAGAATGACCACCCAGACGGGGCGCTGACGTCACGTGCAAGCCAGTGCCAGCGGTGGCATGCAGGGCCCCCCCTAACAGATCAACTACACCAACTCAACTCTCTGACGCGACACCACGCGACACCTATGCGGCGGCGCTGCTACCTGGTATGGGCAAAGGTTGGCTTGTGTGTAAACAGTGTTGTCTCGGAAACAAATAAATTCTCACGTAAATCGTGATCGTACGGAGCAATGCAGAGTTAGCGTATATCTGGTTGGTAGAGTTTCGCGTCTTGGGAATGCGTATCAGACGGATGTGAACTTCGCATCTGGCGTGGAAGATCAGTTATCGCACGTGACAGCCGTGCCGGATGGGAAAAAAAGAAAAACGAGGAAACGGGCGGTGATAGAACGCAAACGGATTCCCGACACAACCCTAGCTCCTCGATACACTGTACTTGATGCTGTGCAATCGAGACATGCGCCGCGTGTTTCAGGGGAGATCGGTGACCGCGTGTGTTGGCGCACTACAGCTTGGAGCTCGTGCAGTGCATGGAAGCTCGCGCTGCGGGACCCGGGGTAGCCCGCCGTACACAGGCATTCTCAGTCGATACCGCCTAGAAGACGAGCAGTACTGCTAAATACATCGCACAAAAGACAGTGTGCAGACACGTTCCTTGCATGACATTGGTCAGACAAAAACTACCTGCAGACATGTTCGAAGCGTACACGGAGCAAACACGCTCCGAAGATGCTGGAGGCCGCATCTAATTCTGTCACCATGTCTCCAGCGTCCACCCTGTCTGGTGTACGAGGTATGATAAGCGTGAGCGCGGCTTTACTAGATGCCCGACCCACCCCAAGCGGCAAACACGCTCAAAGAACCACTGACGCCCCACTTTTTTATTTTATTTTTATTATTATTATTGCTGTTGTTGTTGCAAACGACAGGCAATCGGTCCTAGACATATCATCCTCGAAATCTGAAGCTTGGGAACTGCGTGTTTGTAAAGAAAAAATAAATAGTTCCCAAAAGCCAGATTTGCAGCTCCCGCGGGAATCAATGGCGCCGGAAGATTGAAAACCAGAAGTGTTGTTTAACTTTCTCTCTTTCCTCTCTCACCGATCACGGGCGTGTGCGCCAAATAATACGGCGAGCAAGGCTGTGTTCCAAAATTTACTCGATCCGACTCCGTTTCAAAACTTCCTCGCGCTTACTCGATGAAGTCAGAACAAGCGTTTCAGAAGCGGGTTGTTTACTCCGGAGTAATTACTCACGCTACCCTCCTCCATCGGAGGGTAACGTCGGATCAAATCGAGTAAACACGTTTCGTGTCGTCGTCTGCTTTCTGCGCCCACAGCCGCCAAAGCTCGTTTGCTCCGTTGGCTTTGGTAACAGACGTTCGAAATGACAGAGAATGAGGTGCAGCCATTTCTGTGTGGTCATTGCGACTTGCTGTTTTTGGCGTACGCATTACATCCAGACAGTGCACCTTCGCAGGAAGGCATATCGGTTATTACCAGAGTGCGAGTGTTAACAGGAGATTCTCCGTACCCTCGTCCTCGACGAGGGAGGGAACTCGTATTCTAACGTTCAGGGCTGTAAATGTTCGAACGCAGTGAATAATGTATAAGTTTTTTTGTTTTTTTTTTCTTAGAGTGTGTTTATAAGACGATAACGCTTGTAAAGCAGTGAGGGCTTCGAAGATTTCATGTAAATGACCAGTCAACAATCCCACCCCATCTCTCTCCCCAAGAAATATAGTGGTTTGGAAGTTCTCTCTGTGATTTTGTAATCATATTCGGGTCAAAGCGAAGGTAAGTTGCATATCACTGTTGCGAAAGCCCCCTGCGCTGTACCGCTACACCGCGTGGAAGCAATTTCCGTGAAACGTAATCGGTGCAAATTACGATGCGTGGAACGTATACATTTAGGGCACCTGGACTAGAATTACAGCCGATTGCGCTGATTAATAAAAGCAAATTTTCGGTGTCTAACTGAAAGGAGTAATAGTTTTGATCTCAATATCGCGTCGCGCATATTGCTGTCACTGCTGCGTTACGCGCCAGCCCAGAAATGCTATAACCCAAAAACGCGCCAAACAAAAAAAAAGAAAAAAGTTTAGACAACAGTTGGTGCTTCGTCACTACCACTACCCGGCTCAAATCTTATTCCGTCATTGCAAACATGAAGCGAACCCGGCAGGGGGTGGAGGACGTAAAAGTTAAAACAGCGCGGTTCTTTTTTTTTTTTTTTCTGGGTTAGGTTACGGCATTTTAAATGGTTCCAGAACAAAAAAAAAGAAGTATGAATGTTGGGGGTGGTCAGTGGCCCTTGAAGTTCGACGACACTAAGCGATAAAGCAGACGCCTCTAGCAGACGATGCTGCTCATTCGGGCTACCTGGGGGGCGCTTAGGGGATCTACTAGTGATGACGTTTAGAGGACGAAACGCTCAGGCCTTGTCCTCTAGGGGGTATTGGCTTCATTGACACCCACACGTCTGATGCCGTTTCCGTCTCTCACGTGGCATTCCAAGCGGCACATGAGGACAAATGCAAATCAAGCTATCCTTTAACACGTGTCACCATCTGTATTTGATATTAAAAAACTGGAACTTGCCGTAACTAAATGGGTACGTTTGTGATTGAATACTGACCTTCACGTGAAATCTATCGACATGCAGTTTCTAGAAAATTTAATATGAAAAGATGCTTCGGTAATTTCATGTCTCGTTATTTTCGTTAGTTGACGTAATTCCGTTTTTATTGCACGATGAGAAAACAGAATTTTAAACTTTATTTTTTATTAAAATATGAGCATTCTATGTGCAGTGTTTTGCTTACTTTTTAATTTGCTATATCCAACAGACCGTTTACATAAATTATTGTGGTCATTAGGACGTTATATATCCAGAAAAATATTGTTGAATATCAGAAGCTAAGTCTATTAAAGATTAAATAATAAACTAATAACTAAGAATAAACCTAATACCGAGGCATTAAAGTAGAGTTGAAGAATAGTTCTTTAATTGACCATTAACTTTACGATTCTAGAATACATAGAAGAAAAAAGTTATAACCCGTAAAAAAAAAAAAAAAAAAATAGCAAAACGGAATTCACGGAGGGATTAGTTCATCTGTTCACACCTCAGGTGTCGCTGTGTTTTACCTTGCGGGTTGCGTAAATGTTTTTTTTTTTTTTTTTACCCGGAGTTAAATTTAAGTTTAAGCTTTCATACTATGAGAACAAAATGTATTCGAAAAGTATTTGAAGATGGTCAAATTTCTCATTGTGTGTTTATCTTGTACTTAAACACCTTTGCAAAAAGTGTAATTGAATTTGTAATTACGTACATTTTTGTCGAAGTATGTAATATTTGTATTTCAATATATTTTTGGAAGTGTTTCGCCTACCCCTGCCGTAGACGTACCGCAACCCAGACCCACCTTCTTTTCTTGAAACAAGGTCGCGCTGCAAAAATTGGCTGGAAAAACGGACACCTATAGCTGCAGCTCATGTGTTCCCCCAAGGAGAACAATAGTGCACTTCACCCTGTGCAGTTTCAAGACACGCTTCGTTTCTGTGAGAAACGAAAACCGAGAACAACACACTCGAGAGCGCGGTGTTCACCTGAAGGAGAAACCCCCGTACGTAGCTGCCTGACGTCAGCCGGCGACGCGTCTCTCCTCGCCTCCGACGCGGAGCCAGCGTCGGAGTCGCTGGCATGTAGGGAAATCACTGCTCCGGCACAAAACACGTTCCGTCTCTCTTGTCCCGCCGTTTTTCCGTCATTGCACGCGTTGTCTACATGCCACTGAACGGAACCGATCGCAATCCATTTCACTCAATTATTTAAAAAAAAAACTGCAGAAAAACAACACAGCGACAACGCGAACCACGCGATCCCAAGCAGTACGACAACACGGCAATCCGAGCGGGGAGGAGCACGCCTGTTACCCGCAGCACCCCCTGCTAAAGCACTACATCCAGTGCTTTACCCCCTGGCGTCCTTGCGCGCCGTCATCGCTGCGCCGACCTCCTCCCTCCGTTGCTTCTCGGCGTGGACGACACACTGCCCAGTTCTAGTACACCATAGTTCAACCTTAAAGGAAAACTGAGGAGCTTCCTGAAAAAAGAAAATGAGAGAAGACTTCCAGAGTATTTTTATCCCGTGAATCGGAATATCTCGATCGTTTTTTCCCGAAGATGTAACTAAACGCAAGAAAACACGAAAAACCTCCGACCAGTCGTTACGTCATAAAAGGATCTTTCGGCCGGCAAGCGCTTGTCGCTCGTGTGGGCAGCAGCGCGCGCAACTGCAAGCCCCCGGACCGACACCAGTCGAGACGTGACCTTTTTTGACCTTTTGGAAAATCGCGAGAGTGCTCTTGCATACCTTTGATAGACGCCGGAGATGCGCGAGAGCCCGAATCTCCTTTTATGACGTCACGCTCCGGAAAGGAAGGGCTTCAGAGGTACTTTGAAAATGATTTTCTGCAGTCTCTGCGCAGCAAATGGAAAAATAATCTCGATATTCGTGATCCTGAAGGCCAAATAAGAACGATTTAGGTTTTTTTTACTCAAATACAGAACCGCTTCAGCTTCAATTTAAGCTGAGACTGCAGCCAAAGCTGCAAGCGTGAGCTGCTCCTAGCTTTGAGACATGCATTTCTAGTGCGAGCGCTCGTTCTGCGGAAAATGCTTCAAAGTAGCGACCTCGTGCTTTCGTGCTTGTGGCATTGGCTGCAGTCTCAGCTTAGAACGAAGTATAGCAGCTCAAAACACGACTCTCGGCGCAAATCGGTCTTTTGTGTCGGAGCCTGTTATTGAAATGTACAGGGATTTTGTTCCCATTTTTTCGCAGGAACGGAGCTGCACCTTTAAAATTCGGACGATAAAGTCCACCAGTAAAATGCACCTTGAATGAAAATTTCAGCCCGCCATGTGCAGACGCCGACTGTGCCAGCTCATTTGACAGCGAGCCCCATGGTGAAAATCAGCCGAGGATTTCAGCGACACTGCCGCTCTATTTTCCAGCGGAACGGAGAACGCAGTCGCTTGAGTACGTCGCCGATATAGTCAAACTAAACACCAGCACCTTGCGCCGCTGACGACCTTATTTTGACAAACCATGACACGGTTGGAGCGCCAATTGCATCCACATGCACCGACAAACGTCAATGCCGTTTTTATTTTTAATATTGTTTAAAGAAAAGACCGGCTGTTCTTTCGTGTCTTTATTTCGAGTGCACCCTTTTCAAATATATCCAGTCTCCAAAATCGCTTTGGACATGAGCCAGGAAACAGCATTCTCATACCTCCAGATTTTTTTGCATCCATGTGAGCCGCCACCAAATATAACTAACAGACTTTCTTCGGGTGCTCCTCCAAATGCTGCCAAGGAAAGACGCCCCACCAATTTTGACGGGTGGTCCTCCTGTCATAACTCTGGTGTTGGTGAAACCACATTGGAGCTACATGGATATTACAATAAGACAGGATTGGTCTCACAGCGATTTATGTTTTGTTAGAGAGAGAACATACATGATGTGCAATAAAATGTCGGATGTTTCGATTTCGTCGAAACTGCTCTTAACGAGAAAAATTAAGGTTGCCATCGTGACGTTGCTGATTTTTGTTTCCTACAAGTCATGAGGGCTCAAATTTTATGCACCGGCGAAGTAGGCTTTGTGAACATCAGTTAATACGAGGCCTCAAGAGTTCGTAAAGACGCCCCACAACTTACGGGTGACATTATGCACTCCCGTGCATCTTGCGCTGCTTGACCGCTTTTGTGCAAGCAAAGCGCACATGAAGGCAGCCTACTCAGCTTGCCGGTGTTTGTACAAGTCACTGTATACACCAACACGCTGTTTACAAACAAACTCGCGTTGGCCCACACTATGAGCGTGCGCAGAAACCAGACTCGCGGGAGATAAAGCGTCTGCGCATGCGCAGTGCCGACAGCAGCGCCCCCGCAGTGGCATGACATCGTGAGGAGGCGCGCACGGGGAGCGATGACGGCGTCGCGCCATCCAAGGAGCGTCGTGTTCCCGTGGGCGTACGCGGACATCACAGGGCTTACGAGTTTGCATAATTCTTCTTCTGAGAACTAAAATGGAGTTAAAAGCAATCCGACTGCTGTACTGGGAAAGGGAAACAAGACATACACTTGTGTTTATTGTGTTTCTTTTCGTTTGGTGGTTGTCTAGAAAACGTCAGCGCGCCCATATAATATCTAAGCATTAACAAATATGTCTCCGATGAAAATACTCCAGGTTTAAAGGTACCATGCAATGAATTTTCGGCTGGGATAAATTGGGATTTTATATCTCGTATCGTTTGGTGCGCCAAAAAATAAAACGAGTACAGGGGCGTAGAAGGCGTGAAGCCCTCTTTAAAATTCGAAAATATAGCGACTGTTTCGTACACTCTTTCCTGCGAAAGTTCTTTGCCTTTTCACTGTGATGCATCCAAGGTGCACGTCAGCCGAATCCAGCTCACGCGTGGACACGAGGACTGCGTTACTCGGACGCTCTTTAACAACCAATCCGTCGACGAGGACTTGAATTCGCGTTCGTGGCCAATGAGTGCCCTGACGGAATGACAAGTTCCATGGTGGTGCTTAAAAAGCACGCTGGAGGCTTGTGCATCACAAGCGCGTCACGAACACGTGATTTCTCATTTGAATTGAGGAATAAAGCTAAGGAGGAACAAGTTGAAAAATCATTTTCATGGTCCCGTAACCAATTTCACGAGGGATGCGTCGGCGTCCTGGGTTGTACGACCCTAATTTCTGCGCTTTGAACTTTGAACTCCTTGTACGCAACGTCATAATTATGTGACTCGGTGTCCTGGATTTTGCTCTTGTTTTTCAGAATTTTCGTGTCAGGACAGAACCAGCTACCCCGACGAGGTACTATTAACTTTTGAGCACAGACTGGGGGCGCAGATGATGAAAATGTGCTGGGCTAATTCCAAACAACCCTTACTCATGCAGATCACTTTTCTTCAGAGCGAACTGGATATCTGCAAGAGACTCCTCAACGCCAAGTACCTAGCAGCACACATTCTTCTCAAGCAGGTGCGTTTTGACGATGGGCAGAACGGGTCAGAAGCACGCATCTGAACCCACGGTCGCTCTTTCAGCTGCTCAAAGTAAGCGAAGAGAAAGAGCAGGGGAACAAGATAAATCACTTAAAGTTCAGGGACCTGTTCAAGGAGCTTAACACGCTGCAGTACGAGCTGCAATGCATGGAAGAACACCTTCGGATCAGTCAGCAGAGTTGGCTGGACAAGCTCAACAGGTAAGCTCATCGGCAACGTTCCGCAACACTACGCCCTCACGATAGCTTCTACAAGCAAGCAAGCGTGCTTAGCTCGCATCCTATCGTAAGGGCGGCTGTATAGCCGTTTCCTCATAGATGGCGCTGATTTTTTTTCCAGAACGAGTTGCTCCCAGCTGCGCATGTAGCTCGTGCCCTCGGGGTTTTTATTTTTTTATTTGTTTTGCTTTTGTCCGGTGTTATTTTTAGCGTTCGTGCCTACAGAGTATTCACTGGACGCCATATTTGAGGGCGATGTTTAGAGCGCATGCTCGGAACGAGCTCACGTTAATAGGCTGCAACGACCGGCAATCTTGGTGGTGCGGAATGCACGTGGCGAAACAACTGTGGAAGCTCGCCGACGGCAGTCGCGCACACAGCTATGGCCGCCAGTGAATACTCCCTATGCGAGTGCAAGTTCGCCTGCTTCTTGCACAGTGGTTGCGATGATGTCAGAACACCAAACTCTTACTGGCTGATTAAAAAAAAAAAAAAATTGTGCGTAGACCTTTAGGCATCTAGCATTGAAGTCTACCCACTATCACTGCAATCAGAGCCAATCAGAGCTCGGCATCGTTCTGACGTCACTGCAACTCCTGCGCAAGAAGCAGACGACTTGCTCTCCGCATAGAGTGTGATTTATTCTATTTTCAAAGCAATAAACGTCCTTAGAGGAAAAAAAAAACACATTTTAGTGTGTTTAGAAATTTTATCCGCATTTTAACGACTCCACTTCCTATGCAGTCATGTCGTATCTACAGTTTTCATCAACAAAAAAGTTGTTAGAATTTTTATTCGTTTTCTATCCAATATCTGCACACTATATTCTGTACAAAGTCTACAGAAAAAAACGGCCAAAAAGCAATAGACGGTGGATACATTTTCTTTAGAATGTCTCTGTACACTATTCTTTATAAAAATTCTATAGAAAGTGGATAAATATTTTTGTAAGGGCGTGCTGGACTGTGGATTCCTACACACTAAAAAGGTTTAGAGGCAAGCTGTATTTCAAGTTCCCGGGATACGAGCCACTCAAGACATAGAACTGGCTCTGATATCCGGCTGACCCCAAAGTTAGGAGGACCACGTTCAAACCATTCAACGTATTTTATGAACACTTCATTTTCTGATTGTGTTGTACATCCCGGCTGTCTGTGTTTTCAGCTGCGCTGTTGCGTGACTGACGAATGGCCCGATTCACATGGTGCGATTTTGTTTACGATTTCGCAGTTGTGATGCCAGCAAAGAAAGGCATGGTGACAGCTGTGGTACCGAACCTTGCAACTGCTAAATAGCAAGCAAAATCGCACCACGTGAATAAAGTCCTCGAGGCTTTAGTCGACTCTTTAAGGTAGTTTGTATAAATGTATATGTAACAAATAAAACAATTATATCCTAACTATTCCAAGCAGCAGTCGCTCACGCAACTGACACCGGTGCTGTTTTTGAAGCTCGTACTTATGGCTTTGCTTGCTCTCTCAAACGACGAACATGCGCGTGCTGCTCTTTAACGCTAGCAAACTCCATGGGCCGTGATTTTGTAAACATTGGAACGGTATGTAAGCATGTGTTAGCGTCTGTTCACGCGCACTAACAGAGCGAAAAAAAAAAAATCAGCCAGGAGAAACATAAAATGTTCACCTTCAGCACCTTATCAAAACGCCAACAGTAGCCTTGTTCGATTTCCCTGCACCTCCTGCACCAGCGCAGAAAAGAGTGAGAGAGTGGGGTAGTGTACTTCCGGTCCTATCTAAAAACACATACCGGAAGTAGACTGCCCTACACTTTTCTGCACTGGTGCAGGAGGTGCAGGGAAATCGAACGAAGCTAATGCTTTCTTTTTTCCTTAATTGTTGTGTTTGTTTTACATATTGATTGTTCATGTGCAACGTGAGCGAGGGTGCTCATGTTGCGCATAATTTATGGCATTTCAGAAGTGAAGAGTGCGCGTGCAGCTTTGAGCAGCACTCAATCTGCACGAGTGCACGAACGCTGATAGCTTTGACTTCATTGCCACGGAAAGCTTAGTCAAGCAAACTAGATCGGTTTCGCCGGAGAGCGGCGAGATATTTTCGCCCTCCAGGGAATGGGTCTGAGCAATAGAGAGCATTCACTGGACGCCATATTGGAGGGTGCTGTTTATAGCGCATGCTCAGAACGCGCTCACATTATTAGGCTGCTAAGACCAGTTATCTTGATGGTGTCGAATGCACGTTGTAAAAGAACTGTGGAAGCTCATCGTCAGCAGACGCTCAGCAGTTGCCGCCACCCAAAAAAAATTCCCCCCGAACACCAAAAGATCCACGCAGCGCCACCTAACTTGCGTCAGCATCGCTGCCAGCTCGTCTTGCTGCATATCTCACAACGAGCGCGACCAGGCGGTGACGCCAAGAGGGACGTGTCCTCGCGACGATTCTCGGCCAGCTTCGTTTGCCGCTTGGGTCGGGGATCAACAATGACATCATGCGCAGGCCTTGTCTTCGAGGTGGTCTCAGACGTGAACCAGAAAAAAAAAAGAAGAAAAAAAGGGGCGCCGTTGTCTAGCCCAGCCGTGGTACTCTGGGACACATGTTGCCATGGCAACGTGCAATGCCTCGCCCGCCGCGCGCTTCCCTTTCACTTTCAAGAGTAGTATTGACCGCGGCCGATGCAGCGAGCTCTCCCAGAGTGGCTCGACCCTAGCAATCGCGAGACCAAGGGCCCTAATCTGGACACTTGGCGAAAAAGTCGGCGAGAAATCCCGCGGCTCTGATTGGCCGGCGCCAAGGTCAAGTGCGGCGTTGGCCAATCACGCCCGCCAGATTTCTCGCCGAGTTTCTCGCCAAATGTCCAGATTAGGGTCCCAAACAGCTCAACCGGAAAGTCACGTGTTCTTTGCGCTGGATTGGCTCCGATGGCTTCTGGCGTCCGCTTGATACATCTCGGCCACTTAGTGTCCCATCATTTGTGTGTTTACAAATTGCACGGGCTATTGCATCTCTCGGCACGAGCGCGAATACTGCACTCAACGCTCTATCGTCATATGCGAGCGAAGCCAAAGACACGGGCGCAAAGTTTCCGTGGCTCGCATCTGACATCACATCAGCCGCCATTGTGGTGACCTTGCTGCTGAGCACGTGCCTTTTGCAGCGTACGTTTTGTACCGCCGAATTTCTTTTTCTTGGCAAGCACAAGGAGGAATGACCACCAGCATGATGCAATGACAGCACGCCAACTCGGTCGAACTTTGCCTTTTGAGCTAGGCGACGCCGTAGAATCAAATAGCTGAGTTGGATGACTACACCCATGGTTGTCACGGAATCATCATTAACGCCTGTCTTGGTTCAGGCAAAGAATGCGAAAAGCAGTTCGGCATTTCGACAGATAGATGATAGGCCACGGCGCATATGCTCTTAGCAAAACACAAGATGGGCCTGAAAATAACCGAGATGGCAAGCGAGTGCTACAAGTTACCGAAGCCGAACTAACCAAACCAGCGCTGAGAGCATGTGACTTTTCGGTTTGGCTGTGAGACTTGCAGAGCACGAGGTACGTTCTTATTGCTGAATTGGCTGGCATAGCTCGTAACATCGACCGAGGTCACTCTACATTTAAAAGTGAAAACGCGAATCGCGGCGGTGAGACATTGCACGTTGCCACATGGCATCAGTGTCATACATTCGTCGCCTATCATTGTTTTTTTTTTCTTTGCGTGGAGCAGCAGACCGAAATCGCACGCACACCATTCTCCGGAAAAACTGATCTCGGCAGTCAGGCAAACGAAGCGTGCCGCAAACCGCCGTCTCTGCAAGCTCGAGAAAATAGCAACAAATGCTCTGGCTTGGGGAATTTGGTCCTGGTGTCACACTGTCACCACCATTACGTGCTCATAATGAACCTCCAAAAGAATTAATACACTCGTTCATTTTTGAAACTCGGGTTTGTGTAGAGAAATTTGGTAATTCAGATTGACCAGTTGGTGAATCCCCCTTAATTAACCAATCCATTTGTAACCTCTAATCGTTTGATTCTGCCAGCTGCGCAGAAAGAGTAGTTTACGTTTGCCTGACACAGCAAGTTTGTTTCTTGCTGAGCGCAACAACATTGCACTCGGCACAGAAGAGGCTGGAGCGCGTAGGATTTAGATCCACCCATAAAATGGTCCGCTTTTGATCGGTTAAGCAGCCCATTAATGCATTCATCGGTGGGTTAATCGGTTAATATTGCGCAGCCTCAGTTATAATGTCCGCACAGTCATCTGAGCCGTCTAGACGGGCATATGGACTACTCGGACGCCACACTCCCGCATCGGCCTTTTAAAGGGGTCGAGAAACAATAGAGAGTTTTAGTAGACCGTGTTTCCCTATCCGCTAAGCCCCTCGGCTACCCGGAACTCTATAGCCAAGGCCATCGGCGGCACGCGGGCGCAGTGGCGGTTTCTTCGTAGCGGAGGGGGAAACACGGTCTACTAAAACTTCCTAATTTTCCAACTTTTTCCTGTTTAGCTTTTCTCCTCAACTCACAAATCGCGCATTGTTTCAAAGAGTTCAAAAAGACGGAAAGGGTGGAGTTCCCTTTTGCTCGGACTGTCGTTTGTGTACCCGGACACAGCCATTCTCCCCTAGAAGATTAGCCCGTCGCTCAAAATTTCGACAAAAGTTGCTTTCTCCTCCCCACCCCGTTCACCCCGAAGCTGACAGTGCTGTGGAAGCTACGTGCTCCTTGGGCCAGCCACACATCTTACACGTGATCACGCTCTCTCGCGCATACCCACGCGCAGAGAAGGAGGGCAGGTGATGATAGAGAGGCGAGGCGGCTGATTGGTCCGGCAAGCGCGTAGCTTCCACCGCAATTTCAGCTTACGAGTGAAGGGAATAAGTGAGGTGTCGGTGTGACGTGCGTCTGGACCCGGTGACGCGCCTTGGGTACCGCGGATGTATCACAGTGAAAGGCAGAGAGCTTACGAAGGGAAGGAGGTACGACATAGTCCGCTGTGTTTTAAAATTTTCGTACCGAAAGTCAGGCTTTTGACTTTCTACCTTTTTTCTTTGGGCCCACTGAACTATGTTCTATTAGTAAAATCTCAATCTAAATTGATCTATCGCAGCCCAAAATTCGTTTCATGGGCCCTTTAAAGTATCTCTTTTTCTTCCCAAAAAGCATCATGGAAGAAAACCTAGAAAACAAGGCAAAACTCAAGGCACAAAGTGAAACCATAAAGAAGCTGACATATACGGCACAAGGTAAAAAAATGTGAGCTTTTAATTATTTCGCTTTTTCTTTTTTGTTACCTCGCTTTTTCTAAAGCGATTTTCAATTTGTTCCAGTCCTAAGGCGGGAGCGTGACGAGCTGCTCGCTCTCACGGACGTCAAAGAACGCGATGTGTACCTCCAGTCGTGCATGGACAAGTTCGACGAGTGGTGCGACAGCTCATCGTTAGAGGTACGACGCGTTTTGAAAAACTGCGCCCGCCTATTCGAAAAAAAAACAAAAAAACGTGTGTGCGAAAAAGCGTCCGACTTGTGTGTTTAGCGTCCCATTCCGCCCATGTATCAAAAGTGGTCCCGAAGTGGAAACAAATGACGTTACAAATGCCGGAGTGTCACGCTGTCGGATGCTGCGATCCCGACTAACACAAGCCTGCGCGTCACGTGACATGATGTCACGTCCCGGACGCCTGCACGGGCGCTGATTAGATTCGAGTGCCGCGTCAGCCTTCGCGTGGGACTTGACAGGAAACGAGTCCCACGCGAACGCTTACGCGGCCCCGCAGCCAATCAGCACCCGTGCAGGCCTCCGGGACGCGACGCCATGTCACATGACGCGCAGGCTTTTGACAGCTGTCTAGGAGGTGGTGTCCTGGCGTAGCTTCCGTGAACCGAGCTGAACCTGCAGGAGAACAGGCCACTACCGCATCCTCCACCGCTGCTGTCCGCGACAGCATGACACTCCTACGACGTGATCAAACGGAAATGGAAGAACCACTTTTTTTTTTTTTCCGTGGTTACCGCACCTGTTGGGGGAGACGCGTTCCCGGCACCATAGTAAGTCCTCGGGGCATTTCTGGCACTTTGATTGGCCCATTTCAAGCCTATGTTGTCACACTCGCAGACGCCGCCTCCCCTGGTTTACGGGCGGGAGGGAGAGAGGAGGCGGGGCAACACCACAGAAAATGAGAGTCGTAGTTCGTAGTGGTACATTTTCTACGTCGGCGCAGAACTGCAGAGCGGGCACCTATTTCCACACGAGTGCTACGTCGGCATTCGGCTGAAACTCGCGTTCTCCGTCACCCGCCACGAGATCCGGGACTCTGCAGGCAAGGCTAGCGGCGCTCATGCGCAGTAGTGGCGTCCTCGTTCCGGAGAGCGTATAGCGGAGGTGGGAAAACGGTCTACAAAAGGGAGTTTTCTTAAACCGCGTTTCCCCCTCCGCTAAGCCCACCGCAACGAACATACTGCGCCTGCGCGCCCATGGCCTTGACTGTAGTAGAGTTCCGGGTATCGTAGCGCGTTGCGGGGAGCGTTGCGGGAGGGCGCAAACGATTTACGAAAACTCCCCAAACACTCCCTTGGCGGGGGCCGTGCCTTGACGCGCTTCGGTCTTCCGCCGCTGCGCCTTTCGCGGCTCGCAGATTTGTTTCAGCCGCCGTCTTCTATGTTTTCCGTAGCGCCACTGTCACGCGGCGCCACTTTGGGCGCACGTGGCTTTGGTTTTGCTGCCGAAAATATTTTTTATTGCCAGTGTCGCCAGTGAAATCGGACCGCAGTTGCGCCACTCACCTTGTGCAGTCGAGAAACGGCAATATCATGCTAAACACTTGATTTGAGGTTTTATGGTGCTTTATCTTTGAATAGTCATATTTTATGTATAAAAATAAGTGCCGGTTACGATCGCGGAATTAGTCAAATACAGAATCTCCTCTCCAAAAATGTTTAACAAAATATTTCTCCCGCCGCGAAGGAGTATCGCTACACATCTATGGTAACATTCGGACGCGTTTTTCTTCTTACGTAATTTTGCGGCATCTTCCCAGTTTGTGCACAGGAATTTTTGTTCTTAATATGTTCCCATCGCAACCAAATTTGGTATGCATATACTTTGGAATATGTAGAATGCGACTCTCTAGGTGTGGTTAGAATATATACATTTTTTTTTATTTATGGAAAATTTAAGGAACGTTTGTCAGCCCCTTGAAAATGGCATTTTTGCGGTTTTATAAAATAGAAAAAAAAGTCTCCCACACATTATTTTTGCTGTTCATTGCACTTAGTGGTTTAAAAGGAGCAAATAATTTTATTAGGCTCTTTCAAGTGTGTTGCTACACCCAGGTGTGTGCAAGAACATGTTTTTTTTCTGCATGTGCACTGTGCCCAAAACATAAAAAAAAAAAAAGCTATATCAAATCTAACACCAGATTTCTAAAGAGGAGATTAAGCACTATAACTGTGAAAATATCATTTAGTTATCTGAATACCCCCCGGCGGGATGCGCTTGCACCAGGCACACGCATCGGATCTTCTTCGCAGTTCCCCCGGATCTCTTTCGGGAGTGCCCTTCGCCAATGAAAGCTTTGGCCTGGGGCAGCTGGGGCAAAAGATTGGCGGTATTCTAACGTTCGGATGGCACCCGACCCCCGAATAGCCTCTCTGACTCATGACCTGCAATGACTCTGCCCAGGTAGCAGTTCTCGCGGCCTGCACGTGCAGGGGACCGAACCAGGAACCCTGCAAGTGTGCCCACGCGGTCTCTTACAAGCAGCGACAGTTGAACGAACTTACGGAACGGGTATGCACATCGCAATTTGATTGGGTCGCTTTTTGTATAGGCATGTGAATGTCTCGCGACGGCAGAAAAGTTAATTGATTTAAGCCTGAAAAAGACCTGGCACTCATTTCGAGCAGCACTCTGCATAGTTTTAATGATGCTGCGCAGCGGAGGTTCTTGGATAGCTTTTTACCTGGGAGAGAGGTCATTTTGTGACCTGAAGGGTTGTCTGATTTCTATCCCTTCTCCCCACTTATATTACTATTTTGAAATATAAATATTTCACAATGATGTGTGTGTGTGTGTTTGCACGTGTTTTTGCGCGTGCATGTGTGTGTGTGCGTGTGTACCAATAACTCGACAACAGGGAGACTTGAAAGCAAAATTGGAAAACCGACTGCACACAATAGCTCTATGAAGCAGATTACTCGGGATCACCCAGTTGCGCAGCAGCCAACTGCTTCTTTTTGTTTCCCGCAGGCCAAAAAACTGGAAGCGCAGATGTTCGACAATGCCAAGACATCCGACATATATCGCGAGGCGTTCGAAGTCCAGCTGGCAAAAAACAGAAAGCTAACTCGGAAGGTTATCGAACTGCAGTCGAGAAAAGGCAAGTCAGAAAGACAAATCCCCGCCAGGCTGCACCCTCGCACTACTTGAAACGAAGGATATTCACGTGCGTGTCTTGCGCAGATGTTCTGGGAACAATCATCGCAAAGAGCAAGGGCATCGACAACCAGAAGAGCCTGATAGACGACCTTGTAGAAAATGTAAGTGGCACCTATCCTCAGTTCGCAGAGTGATCACGATACAATCTTTGAATTCAAAACAAACCAAAATGTTTACGGTTTTAAACAAATCACCATGTGAAGTTAACCTCCTAGGTACGGGGTGGACCTGATGGCGCATTGATCATTTGAAGAGACCACACATATTGATGCAATATAATTTAGCACAAAGGTTTGTTTTGATTTTTTTTTTTTTTTGTGAATAATTGAAGCATGAGTTCACCTGAGTAAAAAGTGTAAAAAAAATACATGTTTTTTTACACTATATGGGATAAGCCTGTACCTCAAAATGTGAATCATATTAACTCAGAATCCCGCGCCAGTGTATCATTGTTCCTAAAAGGCCCCTGAAAAGAAAAACAATTTTTTTTTTTTAAACAATCTGGTTGGGACATACGTGTAAAAAAATTAATTTTACGCAAAAAAAAAAAGGTTTTTTAGAGAAATATTGACGGCACGAGACGTGAGTTAGTCGGTAGTCACTTCCTTTCCACTTGTTTTCTCTCTCAGCATTTTGGGTGCATGGAGGAGAGGTGGATCGGCTTCACCTTCACGTTGAGGTGGAAAGAGCGAATTACAATCTTGTAGAGCGATTGACCATTCCGTGACGTCATGGACTTTGCGCGCAGAATTTCAAATAAATCTCTCGCCGTGAATAAGGCTCCTAAAATTGTTTTTCTCGTAAAATGAATTTTTTGACACGCTGTTTGAAAAAAAAAAAAGATAAGTTTTTTCTTTTCAGGGGCCCCACGGTACATGGTAATGGTACATACCCCACAAAATATTAGAAGTGAAATGTGACAGCCTCATTCACACTTACTGGCACGCCTCGATAAACTCCAATTTAAGGCGTGCCTTCCATGAAAAGCCAGTGTTCTTATACTTCCACACAGCATACTGAGAGCCAATCATTGCAATTTACGAAAGGGAGCGAGGAAATGGCGAGGAACACAGACCACTTTCCCACCCAGGCATGCAATCTACTTACAGTCTTTAGTTGAGCTAGTTGGTACATATCGATGAGAGTTCAAGCTGACCCTTCACCAATATGCATGTCTGCACTAAAATTTATTTTGATAAAGGCCCATTTACGCAGCAGCGCTTGACTACGTCTGGCTACATCGAGATACGACTGAAAGTTGCCATGACAACCAAATGCTGCGATGCTTGGATGTGGATGTAAACCCTGCTGCACAGTCAAATCTAGACAGAAGCAATTGTGTTAATTGGCCTTAACATTCCAGACAGGATGTTTGGAGTTGGAGTCAATTAAAATATCAATTGGGTAAATGGTTGTTAAACTCCTGTGTAAAGACATCACTTTGTATTGTAAATGTATTTTGGTTATACTGATGCGTGTTCTTCAGTGAACGGCAATCTGATGGATGCCATGTTCTGCATATAAACATAGTGCTTAAACGAGTGAGTGTTATATAGGCATGATTATTTTAATAATTATTACCGTTATTAATGATTTAGATATGCGTGCAGGTCGCCATTTGCATTCCAAATATTACCTGTGCTTCGTCACCATTCGTAGGTCCACCTCCATAAAGGCCCGTCCAAACAGGATACTTCAGAAATCGTGAGGCGACACGACTCCGACATAAGTCGTGCGGCGGTCCGCTTCCGTCAGTTTTTTTCACCAGGGGGCGGAAGTTCCCTCAGTCAGATTTCGCCAGTGTCCTCCACGGGGGCTTTGAGCATGCTCATCACGTGGGTCTGGACAGCCACTCACAAGCTCTGTTTTCTGCCGGTCATTGTTTGCTTCGCCAGTGTGCAAACAGACATCAGACTGCCGGACGCTCAACTTCCACAATTTTTGACGGAGGTGTGTCGCCTCACGATTTCTTAAGTGTCCTGTTTGGACAGGCCTTTAATGGGTTGGCTTTTCGCGTGCTGCGAGGGGAAATAGATGCACAGGCTTTGTCCACACAGAGCTCATGCTGCATTTGAGGATTTGCGGTGGTGCCACTCTGACGCAAAAGTCTTTTACGTGCCAGAATTCAGTCAGACCTGGGCGTCTTTTTTAACTATAGTTAATTAAAAGAACTTAGAGAATAAATTTAATCTTGAGATTAACGGTCATCTGACTCTTCTGCAGCTCTGTGACAAGAACGAGGCCCTTGTGCATCAGCAAGTCATGGTGAAGCTCCTCGCTCTCCAGATAGGCCGCATGGAAACATCGCAGATGGACTCATGACTGGGTGCCACCGGCACACGCACCGAGCATCCTGTCACATCTCAAGAACCCAGGATGGAGCGGTGCGAGCCGGGTCCCGCAATGCTTAAGAATATTTTCAAATGTGACGCGACAAAGTGTATGCTAAAACACCGAAGACTGGACAGTGCATGCTTTTAAAGAGCAGCTCCACTGAGATTGAAAACTAGCTTGCGACGGGCAGTGTCCCCTATAACCGGTTCACACAGGAAAAGTGGTGACACGCCTCAGAAGGAGTGGAAGAGAGAAAAGTAAAAAGTGAAGAGGGATAGACATCGTTAAAACAAGTTCCTTGCTCTCTGCAGTTATGGCTCTATCCCTTCTTTTGACTCACATACCGCCTGTTCCACAAAAACAAAATACTTCGAGCCGCGCCTTGCCGCTACTTCTCCGCACAGAGGGGCTTTAGTGCAACCAGAGGCGAGGGATTGGGTCGCCCTGAAAACTGTGGCGAGTAGGCACATGCTTCCTGTCGAACCGGTCACATGTTCATCTTGGTGTGGATGAAGGGGGGCATCGGTGGTCGGTGTGTAAAGAATTATCCAAACAGAACACAGCAAATGCCGTGCACAGCAAAAGGAAAAAGAAAAAAAATCTAAAAGTGTGGAAGTTTTGACGTGCGCTTATGTTTTCAGCGAGGACATTAACCACGCAAACAGCACGGCTTTCCTCCTTGCGGTCGTTTCTTCCCCTTCCTTGTTTTCGAGAGATTGGGAACTGACAACAGCGGAGGCCTTGGCAACAGCCAGCAGAGCTTATGAGTGGCAGCCCGGTTGCACTTGATAAGCACGCTCCAAGCCTCTACCCAAGGACGCAAGCGGAGGTAGCTTTCCCCTGCCAGAACAACAACAAAGAAAACGTCCCAAAGCGGACTGGAAATGGAGGAAAACCTCGACTTCCGATACAGCAAATTCCGTGCACGGCATCTGCTGTGTCCTTTTGGGCAGCCCTTTAACGCACGCACCATACCGCAACTCGGAGCACATGGAGCAAAAGGTCGCACTGCAGAACCCAGGGATCCTGCAGGTTCAATCCCCACCCCTGCCTGTTTCTCTCTGGATGAGCATCGTACCGGTGTGCGGTCGTGCGTCACCACTACGTGATGCATGTTAAAGATCCCAGGCTAGCAGTCGTATTGCACTGGCTAGATTTCTCATCTACGGCGTAAACCAGTGTCGTCATACCTCAAAGGCAGATCAACCTTACGCTGTCTAAACAAAAACGCTTACTAATTTGCTTTTTTTTTTTTTTTTATGAATGAAGAGTATACTGCTTATTTCTTCGCATTAGCTGCATAACCCATTTGTGCCAATGAAAGACGAATGCTTGTGCTGCGATATTTGAAACATGACATTTGTGCCCATAACTTGCTAGATTTCCACGGTATTTACAGATAATTTCGGCAGGTCTCGGAGAAAAAAATGGGCGTAGAAAATTTGATAAGCCATTTAATAGTTATTATTTGGTATCCTGTATGCACATAAGCATGGCTGAGTTCGTGTTAATGTAGACACTGGTGTCACCTGTATACCTCTGAGTTAAAATCAGAAAAGCTTCTGGCAACCAAATGAAGGAGAACAAACTTTTTATGCCCCACTTTCCTGTCTTCATGGACCGCTGTTTGCTTCTGTCGTTATTGCAACCTATTTTTTACGCAAAGTCGAAATCACGAGAAACAGACAAAAATAAACTCTAATTCTAGCTTCGTACAATAAGCACTGCGGCAAAGTTATACACCGACAACCAGAAACCCTACATATAATAACCAAACAAACCTTGGCGCTGCTGCCAAGAACTGTGGACTCCAAAAAGTCTAAATTTGAACTACACGATATAGAGGCCAAACAAAACAAATGGACACACAAAATAAAAACTTAACAAAATGGGGTCATGACTGATGTATCATACAGACATCTGGAGGGTTAGGTGGACATTTACATGTATGTTTTAAAAGGTCACGGAAGTGACGTAATGACGTCTGATTGGTGGAGGCAATTGGCTCCACTAATCAGACGCCATTACATTACTTCGGTGACCTTTTAAAACGTTCATGTAAATGTCCAACTTAGCCCTCCAGCAGTCAACTTATGCTCTCTTGTCCATCATCAAGAGAGAAGTGCCATGGTTAGTGAGGACATTGGTGCAATTCTCTTACAACTAGGAAACATTGGACCAACATTCACACTGGGAAGTTCTTTGCTGTTTGAGGCGAGAACGGGAGTTTTGAGGACAAGGACATATAGGGCTAAATTTCAGGAGACAGACACATTATGTGCCGCCTGCCATAATGATAGCAAGACACTCGAGCACTTGGTTTTGAAGTGCACGGGGCTTCACCCTACCCTTCCTAAAGGGGTAACTGATTTGGCCGGGGCCCTGGGTTTCGTTGGCAACGATGGAAGGACGGAAGAGAAAAGGATTACAATGGCAAAGAGGCGATTAGAAGATTGGTAGAAATTATCTAGGGAAAATTGAATGATGAACAACTAACTAGCACAGCTGGGGACAGACAGGACAGAGCAAAATTGGGACTCCCTCCCGCGTGGCTTCGGCCCAAAGTCTCAACCCTGTCTTCCAGTGGGCCCGGTGCTGGGGTAACGCCGACAAGGTTTGACCAGAGGAAACTCCCCCGAAGGTCATCCTGGTGATATCCCATGCTGCCTGGTGATAGTTAGGGGGAGAAAATTGGTCTTAGAAGGGCAAGAGGAATCGTATAAAGGTTTTGTCTTTTTAGACTTTGGCTAGGTGGCGCAAGCTACCGCCCGTTACAAAAGGTATAGCCATTAATAGCCATCCATCCAGTTTCTGGGCATGAATATATGAGTGGAGCTGCCCTTTAAAGCTAAAACATGATAAGCATATATGATGTACAAACTTCAGCCAATCCACACAGTGCAAGCGTTGTCATGCATTGCGGACGCACATCTTTTTATGCTGACAGATATGACGTTTCTCGGCAGTGCCCAGTCGTTTCCAAACACTTTTTAGCATCCTGGAAATATGTAGTTTCCTTTGAAAATGGCCTATAACAAAGGTCACGGGGATTATCGCATAGCGGGCATGTAATGTCTTAAAGAGGGTGAAAGCGGCTGAAAAAAACAATTTCCATCTGCGCAAAAAAAAATAAAGAAAAGTGTTTACATATTTTGTGTGGACAGGGCTTAAATGACCTCACAGTAACACTAGTCACTCGGGTTTCAGATTCAAACAAATCTGAAAAGTCATAATGCTGTGTTATCCCAATTACATAGGCGGGCATATTCAACGATGCAATCCGTATCATGCTTGACACAATATTTATTTAAACATTGTTTCATGTCTGGAAAGCTCCGGCTTCTGGAATCGGTAAATGTACACAAGTCGGGCTGGACCACTCCAGTTATGCCACCCTACTTGAGAGCACATCCAGTGCGCTTGGCTCTGATTAGAAAGATTAGTGGGTAGACCTAAAGCTAGGTGCATTTGTCTCCACTGCACTCGTCAAACAGTCTCCAAATGCGAGAGCCAAAAGCCAGACGCCGGCATTCTGCATTTTAAAGCGTTCGACGAGTGCAGTGGATGCAAAGGCTGCATTTGTTTACACTGGACTCATTGAACGCGTTTGAATGCGAAAGCCAGACGCCAGCGTTTCATGTTCTAGCGCGTTCGGCGAGTGCAGTGGAGACAAAGGCAGCTAGCTTTAGGTCTACTCACTAATCTTTCCAATCAGAGTTCGGCGTTCTGACGTTCCCGCACGCTCGTCTTCTCCTCTCCCTCATTTTTTACAGAGAATCATACTTGTCTCGAGAAGGGCATTCTTGTGAGCAGACATTTTCGTGCTTTATATAGTGCAGGGTTCATTTGCACTCTGATGGGATAACACTGTGCTGCATTAGTGAGAAACATGTGATATACAAACGTCAAGTGTTCATTCATCCTCGATGAATGTCTGCAAGAACAAGTAAACATTCAATTGTGGTCTCATGACTAGCAACTTATTTAACTGTGACCACTATCATTTCAAGCTATTATACATCATATCCCTGTTTGCCAACTAGCAGTAGTACTTATGTTGGCTAACATGCAGAAATTCTGATCTGTTCGCTGACTTGCAATCATTTTCCCCAAGAGACGACTGTCATTATAGGATCAATGGTCATTCAATGTATAGTAACATACAGCAGAATAAGTGGTGCATCAGAACCTAAGATGTTGCGAACCGCCCGAGGTTAGAGTTTGCCTACTTTGTGTAGAACATTCGGTGGGGGGGGGGGGGGGGGGGGGATAAGTTACTGCTCCCGAGGTCCCCCCCTGATCAGCGCTCAATTCCGGACAGAATGCCGACAGTCGAAAAAACACGATAGAAAGGCACCATTGCCGCGACAAACCAAGCAGTAAAGGCAAACGTCGCCAACCAGCACACCAGAGATCCAAAAAGTTGCCGGCATCTCTAATGTAAAACTTCTGCTTCACTTGATGGCTGCCTGACGCGTCCATAACATTTACTCGCACAATGAACGCACTCGCGTAGTGAACGCACTCCCCAAGTCTGCTCTCAAAATTTCGACTTTTTTTTTCACTCGCGTATTAAACGCACCCCCAACTCGGACGTCAAAATTTTGACCCCCTCCCCCCACGCGCGCGAAATGAACGCACTCTTCTATCCTGGTGCAGCGAGGTCGCGAATGCATGGGCAGCGTGGGCGAACAAAACGCCTCGCAAAAGGCGTTAAAAAATAAAAAAAAGATCCAACGGAAGCAAGAAAAAAAAAATGGAGAGGAGCTTTTTTTTATTTGCAAAGCGCAGTCTGGATTTTGGGGTCGCGCGCTGCGCGCAAGGAGATAAGAAAGATAAACGGAGAAACCCTCGTCTACGCAACGCCTAAGCAAACTAAACAACTCGCGAAAGGCGGCAAAAAAACAAACAAAAACACGGAACTAAAAGAAAAAAAGTTTTTTTTTTTTGTTTGTTTTTTTGCAGTTTGGTCACGGGGTCGCGCGCAAGGAGGTAAGAAAGAAGAGGAGAAGCCTTCGCCTAAGCAAACGAAACAGCTTGCGAAAGGCGGCAAAAAGAAGAAAAACAAAACAACCCACGGAACTAAGAGAAAAAAAAACAACAAAGACGAGCTTTTTTTTCTTTTTTCTTTTTTTTGCACAGCGGTTTGGTTACGGGGTCGCGCGTCGCGCCCAAGGAGATAAGAAAGATAAGCGGAGAAGCCCTAGCCTAAGCAAACAAAACAGCTTGCGAAAGGCGGCAAAAAAAAAAAAAAAACCCACCGAACTAAGAGAAAAAAAAAGGAGCTTTTCTTTTTCTTTTTTTGCACAGCCCAGTTTGGTTAAGGGGTCGCGCGCCGCGGGTAAGGAGAAGTTAGGTCGATTTTTCAGGATAAAGGGTCCGTTCATTATTCATTATGCGAGTAAATGCGGACACAAAAATTTTACTTGGCATAATTAACGCCCCCCCCCCCCCCAACCTTGCATCGATTTTTTGGAAAAAAACATGCGTTCATTCTGCGAGTAAGTACGGTAGCAATCATCCTTAGCTGTGGAATGATAGTGTCCCATGCACACATTTGTCTTGAACAAGAGCTATAACACAAAACCAATGTACTATTAGTTATTTTAGCAGTCCTGTTATTCCTATATCTAAACAAATATCTGAGATTAAATCATAGGTGTTGTATCATGAAAGCTGAATTGCACTTGGCAGTCACTTCAGCGTGTCTTTTTAATAATCACTGTCAGGCTGTGATTAGTTTCTGACCTAAGTGCAGGTAGATGCTATAAAATGTTTTGCATGTTTCTTGAAAATCAAAGAAAAGCTTTATGTACAGTGAGTTGATATTTTCTATGTATTTGAATACAAAATTAAAATTTTGACTAGCTCGTGCATTGGGCATATTATAATGTACAAACCTTATAGCAGAATGTTTTATGTACTAAGCTGTTGTTTTCCAATTAGTGTGTATATTCTAATTGAAAAAAGATTAGCTTAAAATAGTATTTTGTATTTGTGACTTTATACTTCCAGTTCTGCATGGTGTTTTTGTCCCTCACCTTTTAAAACAATTTGGTTAAACTATGTTTGACCTTATACACAGAATTTTATCGATGGCTGACAAAGCCGAGTGATGTAGACGTCCGGTGAACACGAGCAACCAAAACATGAAAGACGGCAATGAGGTCATGCTGGAGGCAGAGCTTTCGCTGCATTCTTAACCTATCACAGATTATAGTTTGTCAGCAGCTCAGGACTTAGAATGCTTACTATTGCCTCCAACATGACTGTGCCCAACTTCTAATTGCATAAAATTTGGTGTCGACAAAATAAAACCATTCAGTTGTATAAAAAAAAATAACACATATGAATATACATTTATTTGTGCAGGTATAGGGAAACAAAATACTAGTCATTCTGACAAAATGACTTTTTTGTGAAATAAATGGAAATATTGTGAAAGAGAGGGCTTCCTTTCTTAAAGGGGTCATGAAACGCTTTTCCAACTTTTTTCTGTTTAGCTTTCCTCCTCAACTCATAAATCGCGCATGCCACCAAATAGTTCAAGAAGACGAGAAGAGGGGAGGCCCCTCTTGCTCTGAATCTGGTTTATGTACCCGGACAGAGCCATTGTCCCCCTAGAAGATTAGCTTGTCGCTCAAAATTCAGACAAAAGTTGCTTTCCCCAACCCGTTCACCTCGGAGCTGACAGTGCTGTGGAAGCTATGTGCTCGTTGGGCCAGCCACACTTGCCACATGATCACGCTCCTCCGCGCATACCCACGCGCAGAGATTGAGGTCAGGTGATGAAAGGGCTGATTGGTTCGGCAAGCGCGTAGCTTCCACCACAATGTCAGCTTAGGGGTGAAGGGACTAAATGAGGTCCGGTTTTGTGTGACGTGCGTTTGGACCCGATGACGCGCTTTTGGGACCGCGGATGTATCACAGTGAAAAGGCAGAGACCTTACGAAGGGGAGGAGGTACGAAATAGTCCGCTGCGTTTTCAAATTTTCGCTCTGAAAGTCAGGCTTTTGTCTTTCTACCTTTTTTCTTTTCGCCCACTGAACGATGTGCTATTAGTAAAATCCCAATCGAAAATGATTTATCCCAACCCAAAATCCGTTTCATGGGCCCTTTAATATCCTAACTTCAGACAGGGCATGGGGCGTATGGTCTCTCTTTCGAATTCCAAACCTCCAGCACGTGCTCGTGGCCTTGCATGTACATTAGAAGCTCACAAGACACTAAAGTATTATAGACGGGGAAGCTCGTGCTCAAGGCGAGATAACTGCACGAGCTCCAGGCTGTTTTATCCTCGCCATGACAAGACGGAGTACCATATTTTTGGAACTCTAGTTCGCACCCGGTGCACAAACTGCAAAAAACACATTTGGCATTAAAAAAATAATCTTTAGGCTGCAGTAACACTGTGAATACATCATACAAAAGACTGTTTGCAGACACTAGCATGTTTCCTTGTATCCCAGTCCTGTCACATTGGACAGATAAAAAATGTCTGCAAACATGTTTGCACCACAGATATGTATGCAGGAAACATGCTAGAGGACAATAGATTTTTTCCCGAATTAAAGGGCCCCTGGTGGCACAGTGGCACGAAATGAATTCTGGGTACCGGTTGGCCACTTAGTTTTGGTTTCAGCTTCAGATTTTGTTATGATCATTGTGTCGTGACGGAACACGCTGCTTGCGTTTTCATTGCTGTGACTTCCTACAAGTGTACAATACTGTAGGTGTTGTTGAGAGATACCGAAAAGAACCAACCACTTGGCACTGTTTTTATGGTTCCCGACGTGGCGGATTTTGGGCAAAGGTAGGCAAATGTAGAATGATGGATTGCAACGTCCCTGCTGGTGCCCCTGTCGTGCAAGCATGTTCGCATGCGCATGAAAAGCAGTTATGCAGGCTTGGAATTTCACATGCTTGGCTGCAGGAGTACAGACAGCAGCTGTCTGATCAAAACCGAAACCATGCCACTCCGCTCCGTGGCCAACTGGTTC